TTATTAATTTGTTAAATTTGTAGATAATTAGCTTTAAGTAGTGTCACAATTGAGTACAAAATACTACTAGTAGTACGCCTAAATCCTATCTATTAATATTTATTTTTTATTTTTTGATAACTATATCACATGCTCTGCTTTATTAATGAAGTTACTAATTCTAAAATTAGTGAATTACACTATGCCTCAAAGCAAAAAAACTGGAATGTGGCTCACCCAGTTACTTTGTATAACTAAATACTAACTCAGCACCTATGTGCAACCTCCAAAGATAAGTTTGGGCTCTCTAGTTTGAGTCAATCTACCTCAAAAAAGCCTGCTTCAGATTACTTTTCTGGTTTACTGGCTCGACATGACCACCTTCTTTTCTAACCTTCTTTTTTTAGCCTCCTAGGTAGAAAAACTCCACTGCAAAAGCATCAGGAAATTTACAAAGTTAAAGAGAAAACTAAAAAAAAAAGATGAAATCTAAACTAAATAAAAAAAACAATACACCAAAAAAAATAGAGAAAAGGAGAAAAAGACCACAAAGAAGACAGCTATAATAACATTATTTTTGTCTGTATTAGGTTATATAAATTATATAGATTGTATAGAAAAAAAATTCTACTCTAATACTATATATAATAAGAAGAAAGAAAAAAAATTCATTTAACATCTAGAAGTTTCTATACATAATCCTCTAATCCCTTATAGTCATCATTACTTAATCGAGAAGCAGTATCTGAATCAGCTTGTAGCAGGTTCCACTTTAGTAGACACATACTAATTTGAAAGAAGTAAACACTGCTAATCTTTTGGAGAGGATATACCAGTTTTTTTACATTTTGGCTGAAATTTCTAAAAAATTCCAAATCTGCAAAAATATGGTAGAGATATATAGTTGTGATTACTTTCAAAGTTTTCTAAAGAGTGGTATAAAAAGCTTATTTGTTATTCTTCTTCTATTATGTTATCTATGCTTGACTTCATTGATGATATAGTCTTATTTTTGTTAGAGCATCATTATCCCCAAAATTTTGTACACAAGGGCATCTATTATGATACTAATGCTTTTGGTTTGTAGCCAAATATGCAAAGAAGTCCTCTGAAGAAAAAGGTTAACCTTTACAAGAACCACTACATAGTGCCTTCTCCTTTTTCAATAAAATTTTTTGCTTCTGTTCAGTGAGAAATTTTGGTATGAGTAATCATCAGAGAGAGTTGATAATTAATATGATTTTAATATTTATTTTAATTTTTTTGTAAATAATTATATATATATATTTTATTTTTTAATTTTTTATATTTTTAATATTATTTTATATATTTAATTTAGAGATAATTTATATACTGCACTATGCAATATTGCTATATCACCTGTAGATTATAAAATTAGGTGTTTTATAAAATCAAAACTTATTTTTTTATTAGTTAGGGTGAGATAAAAGTAGTGTGAGATAATGATAGTGTGTAGATTTTATAGTAAAATTTTGTAATAAAATTTTTTTGTTAAAATATGAAAAGTAGCTTCATATACAAAGTTTGAAATATAGATAATTTTTGACAAAATGAATATTTGTTTTGAATTTTACTAATTGTGTTATATTATATCTGATCTTAAAATTTGATTAGTCAATCATGTAAGAGGCAATAAATTAGTAACACTACAGAGTGCGGTAAATAAATATACTCTTTAATTTTATTTTTTTATTTATTTTATATTTTTTTATTTTTTATTTTTTTATTTTTTTATTGAATTATATTATTTTGCGCATATGGGACCTCCCACAGCAAAAGGGGGGGATTGGCCAAAAAATTTGAAAATTTGTTCTTATGATAATTTTATTCTAATTAATTTGATTCTTCGAGATACTGAATTTTTTTAAAAAAAAATTTTTTTGGCCCATCCCCCCCTTTTGCTGTGGGGTCCCATATGTGCTATAATGCACCTCATAAAATCAGGTGCAATATGAAATCAAAACAATAAATTAATTTGTTAGTTAAGGGTTAGAGTGAGAGTTAAGTTAGGGTTAGGTTAGAGTTAGAGTAAAGTGATTTAGAAAAATGGTTCTAACTAGAGATGCCTGCTGCAAGGTTGTGGCCTTTGCATCTCTTTAGAATTAGTTGCAGCCTTTGCAATTCTCTTTTTGGTTGCAAAAAGATATAACATCACAAAGTCACAAGATTGAAAGAAATTGAAATCGCAAAATCACAAATCATATGATTGCAAAGCTATATCAATACAATAATAATAAATAAATAAAATTGTTAAAAATATATCTTTGGTAATTAGCGTATTAAATATAATGTAGTATAGTATTTATTTATTGTATTTATTAATTGAAATAAGTTTTTAATGAAATAAAGAATTCTTATTATAAAGCTGATAAAAATTCAATACAATAATATTTAAGCAAAGCAGAACTGAATTTTTTATATCTGTAACATTTTGTATAGCATAACTAACTATTAAATTCACTATCTATTCATAATTAATATTTACAACAATAATTGTGCAAAAAATATGTTGTGGCAAAGCTTAAGCATTCTTGTTATTCCTATAAATATACTGTATATTAGTAAATTTAATAATGAAAATAAATGTATGTTCAATTTTTTTAAAAATTCTGCAATCTTGTCAAGTCTCATATTTTGAATGATAGTCTTTGGGTCATAATCTTCAAAAGCTTCTATATCATTAGTTCCAAAGTCCATATTTTCAATCCTCCCATCTTTATTTTTATTGAAAGATTCAAAAATTTGCGAATTAAAATCAATAAATGTTTTAACACTTAGTTCCAAATTATCAATTGTAGTATTGCTTGAATCCAAAGCTGAAAGTTGATCGATATCATCTTGAGAATTATTCTCTTGAGAATTATCATCTTCAAAATCATAAAGCATAGAATTAACTAATGCATATATATCATTAGTATTTAATTCATTGTTCTCAGTTTGTACAGTTTCAATTTGCGAAATATTATATTGATAAACTTTAGCAATATTTTCTAAAGTTTGTAAATTCATTCGTTGACATCATTTTCCATAAAGCCAGTTCAAAGTAGAAAATGTATATTCACATGCTGCACTGCTAGGTGTAATAGCAAAAAGCCACATAGCAAGCTGTTGTAACTCATTTGGATTTACTTCACATGTTGACCACCAACTTAATGGGGTATCTTGATTAAGTGCATAAGGCAGGCATTGCATATGTATTTGGTTTTTTGTTAAAATCTTTCTGCATTTTGTACTGCCATAATTGTGTTATCAATAATTCATAGCTTTCTTTAGTCTTTTTTAAAGATTTTTATAACATGCCAGCATGTAAATGCAATTGTAGGAAATATTCTGAATTTGAGCCCAGTTTCTTTATAAGCTGGATGTAAAAAAAATGTTAAAAGGTAATTTGAATTATCGAATTCATCATATCGTCGATTAAATACTTAAATACAATGGTTTCTAAATTTATAATATTCTTTTTGTGGTAAGGTATTAATTGCAGCACCAATTTTAAGGAGAGCAATATAACAATCGGCAAGATTAGATTGGCTTCCTTCTACTTCAAGAATTGCTGATTTGATTGGTGCAAGTATTTCTGTTAAGTACTGCATATCATCAAAGAATCCACGACTTTTTAAAATAGTAATGACTTTGTTATTTGTAATTTTGTGAGCGAATTCATCTCTAATATCTTCTAAGCATTTTTTAAGACGTATAATTGAAGAAGTACATTCATGAAATATAATCCATCTTGTTTCAACATAGTATTTAAGTCTGCCACCAGAAATTTTATATTTTTCTATTAGAGTTTTTAACAATTAAATTGGCTTTTTTAACTAGCTGAAATGCAAATGTATGCTTGAGAATATCCTTAGTAATAAGATTTATAGCATGTGCTATACATCTAAGATTTAGAATATGCTGATATTAACTAGTAACTAATTTTTGTGCAAGTTTAATATTGGATCCACTATCACTAATAATTGCAGCAATCTTTTCTGGTCCAATTTCTTCAATAATTTGTTGAATTTGTTGGGCCAAAAATTCTCCTGTATGTGAATGATTCAAATAATCAGCAATTCGATAAATGAATTATTTTCAATTGGGTGTAAGAAGTACAAAATTCCACAATGATGTTTTATTTAGGCTTGTCCAACCATCAATACAAAGTATTAAATTTGAAGTTGATTTAATTGTTTGTTCTACTTTTATATTAACTTGGGCTACTTGAGTATCCAATAAGCGTTCTAATATAAAAAATTTAATTATATAAGTATGATAATTATAGTTTTAATTATTGAATTTATATATTAATATACAATAAATACCTGCTAATACTTCACGTGAAGGCAGCTTATATTCAGGACAGAAAATATTAAATAGCTTAATAATAATGGGTTTTCAATTATATTGAAAGGTAGGTCACATGAAATGAATACCACAATTAATGCCTTATCAACCTCTGTTTGGTAAATTTCTGAAAATTTCACAGGTTTAAATTTTTTCTTAGATGTAGACCTGGATTTGATTTCTATAGAAGTTTTAGTTGGAATTGCATAATCTTCAACTTTTGGATCGTCAAAAAGATTATTCACAATTATGTAATTATAATATGTTTAATATGTTCAAGACAATTTGGACATTCATGTACAATATGAGCTCTAGTTTTAATAAGTTTAGCACGTCTAAATTTCTTGTTGCAATAAATACATTTTCCTCTATAAACTTTACAAGATACTTCTTCACCTAATTCAATTTCTTTCCAAATTCCAGTAAATTGGTGCCCAACTGGTTCATTAGCGTTTTCATTATCAGAATCACTGATATTATCAACTCGATGTCTTTTTACTTTTATTGTTATTAACTATAATAAAACACAATTAAATTAATGTTATATTTATATAAAAATATAAACATATATAAAACTTAAATTTTAATTGCATTGTAATAATTATTTATAAAACAATACATTATAATATTACAATATATTATTATGATATTGTATAATTATATATTACATTATATTATAATTATAGTATTATACTATTATACTATATTTGCGATGTTGCATAATTATATATTACATTATATTAAGCTATACTATTACGCTATTACACTTTATTTAGATATTGCAATGTTGCATAATTATATATTACAACATTTTGATATTGTATTATAGTTATAGCATTACGTACGTATTATATTATATTTTGATATTGCAATATTGCATAATTATAACATTGGAATATTGCGATATTGCAATATTGTGATATTGTGATATAATGATATTTTTATTATTTACAACATTTCTGCTTTTTTAAATACAAAAGTCTGTAATAAGTTGCAGCTCTAGTTGCATCATATTAAAGATGCAATCATTCCTTGCAGCAAGCAATACTAGTTCTAACCCAAAATTTTACAAGAAATTTTTTTGTTAGAGTATAAAGAAAAGTTTCATAAGCAAAATTATGAGCTACAAGTGATTTTTTTAAAAAATTGCTAATTTTTTTCAATTTCATATTACACCTAATCTTAAATTATGATTAGTCAATCAGTGGGTACATTACTACAGGATCCCGGAAACTTATATTAGATGTTCTCAGCAAAATGAAGCCAATTTTATTATTTTTTTACTCACAAGCCGATTGGCTAAAAATGATAATCATTACTGTAAAAGGAAAGCAGATCACATGACTTCGCATATTTTTTGTGCAACATTTCCTTTTTGGTAAGATTTTCACTCCTCTACTAATAACTTTATCTATACTTTAGCCGGTAATATCAGAAAATTTTCTATATAAACTTTACCTATTCCACATGACAGAAACATCTAATATAAGTTTCTGGGGTCCTATTACTACGCATATATGCTAAATTACATAACTCTTTTTTATTTTTTATTTTTTTATTTTTTATTTTTTTTATATTTTTATGTTTTTATTTTTTTATTTTATTATTTTATTATTTTTTTATTTTATATTTTTTTATATTTTTATATTTTTATTTTTTTTATATATTTTTAACTAATTTAATAGGTAGTACTTCATATTACCCATCTTATTTGTTATTTTGTCAGTAAATTGACATAATATTTTGTTATAAATAATTCTAAAATCTGAGAAATTTGCCTACTAATATACAATTTCTGATTTTTTGGTTAAGTTAACCAATACTTCTTAATATATTATTATAATAAATTTATATTAATAAAAATTGCCAGAGGTGAAGAAAATAGATTTCTTATATAGATAATGGTTTAAATACATAAAAATTTAAAAGTTTGCAGTTATATTTTATATATAATTTGGAAAAAATTTTATTTTAAGAACTTAAATTCTTTGAGTTTAGTGAACAAATATTATCTTAATTTTATAAATTCTCTGTGATTGTTTATTTATTACATTGATTTATAAGGTTTATGTGTTGTAATAAAAAGATTGGATTCCAATTCTATTTTGACTCAGTCAAGATGATCTATTATGTAATTATATACACAAGAATTTTTACAACTTTGAGCAAAAATATCTCAACAACCCATCAAATTAATTTTAATAAATCATCCTTTATTTGAATTTTGAATTTATAGAATTCAAATAAAAATTTTTTATCAAATTTAGTTAGATAATTATTAATAATTTTAGCTCAAAGTTAAAAAAAAATCAGAACACCTATAAAATAAAAGGTATACCAAATTTTTCTTTAACTTTTATCAAAGATATTTTGATAACTATCAAATAAAATTTAATAAAACTTTTTGTTTAAATTCTATATTTTTATAGAATTTGAAAAAAAAAATTTAAAATCTTGTAAAAAAACTCTTTCCGTTTATTATTCATACACAAATTTTCCCAGCTAAATTATTTTAAAAATACTTTATAACTTTTCTTTACTAAGTTAACCTTAGTTTCGCTACTAAATAAACTTATTTTTAACCAAAAAATACATATAATACTTAAATATTAAACTAAAAACTTTTAAAACTATTGAGAAACGGCCATCTGGCCCTTTTTCTTACA